GAAGAAGGTGGACTGGTATGTCAATGGCCCAGTGGACAGACTTAGGCTTTAGGAACAGGAAAATCTGGTTTCAAATTCGGCTGCATCATTTATCATGTGGCCTTTATAAAGAAATCCCTGGCGTCTTTTTTTAAAAGAAAATCCAAGGATGGCGATGGGGAATTTCCTAGCAGAATGGCCAAGTCTCCTGGATTCCGCCTCCCTCTGGGGGATCTTTCTCTTCTCATCAGGCTGGCCTGGCAATGCTCCCCCTCTAATGAATCATCTGTCCCGTGTATGTCCTCCCTACACTTCTGAGATGGCCAGTCTACAAAATGGCCCTCAATGAACCTTGACTCCCTATATCCACACCTGTGTGCACCTGCCTCCCACACTGAATCTAAACTGGTCCTGTGACTCACTTTGCCAATAGAATGTCCCAGTTCTGAGCCTAAGCCTTAAGAAGGCCTGGCAATTTGCACTTTTGCGTTCTTGGAAGCCAGCTACCATATGAAAATTCCAACTACCCTGCTGAAGAGAAAGACACGTGAAAAGGCCCTGGAGTATGAGATACCACGCAAAGAGAAAGGCCACGTGGAAGAAGACCAAGGTACCAGATGCATGAGTGAAAATGCCCTTTTGGAGGTTCCAGCCCAGCTGAACCTCCAGGACCCCAGCCCCAGCCACCATCTGACTGCAAATGCATGAGAGACACCAAGACAGACCAGCAGAAGAACCACCCAGCTGAGCCCCATCAACCCACAAAAACTGTGTGAGATAATAATAAATGGTTGTTTCATGATACGAAGTTCTGGGGTGGCTTGTTACATAGCAATAGATAAAACATCATTCCTTACTTATCCACAGCACAGCCCACTTCACCAGCTCAGCATCTCTCTCCCACAGCCACACCTTGTAAACTCCTGCAGCACAAATCACGTGAACCCAAAATGGGAGAAGAGAAGGTAAAGAGAAGGAGATCAAGTTCAAGGGTGACCCTCTGTGGCCATCTTGTTCTGCTGGGGAACATCATCCTATTTTTCTGTCAGTACCTCTGAGGTCCAGACCTTGCAGCCAGACCATGGATTCTAAGAACAGCACCTCAGTCAAGGAAAGCTCTGTTGTGTTTGCATTCCAATCTTATTACCCTCCACAATTGTTTCCCAAAAGCTCTGGGGGTTTTTGCAGATGTTTTATAGTATCTTCCAGGTCCCTCGTTTCTTCTCTCCATTCAAGGTAAGAGTAGGCCACAAGGAATTCCTGGGCCAAAGTTCGGCCCTCCAGCCACTGGACCTGTCCAGCAACTGGACTACATCTGATTCTTCAGCTCTCCCCTGGGGATGGAGATCTGGGCTCCCCCTCTATCTACCTTCCCCAGGAGCTGTTTCTCAGCCTCCATGCACCCAAGAAGTCTGGTAGGAATCTCCCCTACAGGGCCTCCAAGTCTATGGAGGTGAACTCAGGCCGGGCTTGGAGCTGGCAGAACATGCTCCCGCAGCCTCCATCCCCATCTCAGGTCTCCCTCATCGCCTCAGCTCCTCCTTGACCATGACTCCCAAATTTTAGAGGAGTTCTCAGCTCCTCTCCCTCTTCAGGCCTGAAGACACCCTTAAGAAAGATTTTTCTGGTTGTTATTATCTAAGGGCCTTTATATCTCATAGGCAGCTATGGGTCTTACCTTTAGGCCTCCTCCCTTTTCTGGGAGTAGCTGGTTCCCTCCTCCCGGCACCCTCTGGAAGGCTCCACCATCCCCTGAATAGCTAGGATCCTTGTGGCCAGTCCTTGAGCCCAAGGGGGCCCTCCACACTTCTCTGCGTGGGCTGAGGTTTTCCTGGGAGCCGCCCTCTGGAAGGGTGCATCGTTCCACCATTTCCTTGGAATCTTGACCAAAGAGATTTCCCCAGTAACCAGGACCAGAATCTCCACCAAACTGGCCTCTCTCCAGGGGCTGGCTGGCCGCCAGGGCAGATCTTTCAGCCCTCTCAGAGTTGGCGCCCAACTCCCCACCACAGGATATGCTTTCTGCAAAGCCAGGGCCTCTCAGTTCCCCTTTTTGCACATGAACAATGAAGAAACCCTTGAGGAGTGTCGATTTTGCACATACTGCTCTCGACCTTTAGCACCCTTCCACCAAGATGGGGTTTCCTGGTATCACTCTTTCCACCAGAGAGCAGAGGTACACTGGGTGGGGATTCCACCGGAGGTGCCATTCTCAGCTATGCGCGCACCATCCCACTCCTCCCCCAGGAGGCTGCTGTGGTCCATCCTGTCTGTACTTGCATCCCCAACAATCCCCTAGCCTTCTGAACTCCATGCCCCCAGCAAGCTCAGTGCCAGGCACCCCACTAGTAGACATCCCGTGAGGTTTACCCACCTCCAGGATCTACGGCCCCTTTCTCTGGCCTCCTGGCTTCTGCACTAACTCCCAGCCTTGATGAACACCCAGCTGGTGCTCCTCTAGCTCATGACTCCATATGCTGGCCAGTCCACCAGCGTGACTCCCTTGGGAGCTCTGCATTCTCCACTAACCCAGTCTGTCTTTGAGGACTCACCCCATCCCAAGGGACTCTACCCGCATATCCTCCATCCCTACCCTGGTCCAGCCTGCTCACGTACAAGGTTCCCAGACACAAAGGGCCTGATCTATGATCCTCCCTGTCGAAAATAAATCTGCTTTGTCTTTGAAGAGTCCCAGGGCTCAGGCCCACCCCTGCCTCCACCTGTGGGAAAACCAGCAGCCTCAGAGTGAAATCAAACTTGAGGGTTAGCAGGAGAGCTGCTTCAAGTGGGAAGGCGCAGCTGCCCTCAGTTTAGCCCCAGTATTTCAGCCTCCCCTTAGGGATGCTGTCACCAGCGTGCTGACCTTGGGGGCTGCACTTACCCTTTCCCACAAGGATCCAGACCCTTCCCTCACTTGCCTTTTAACACAGCTGAGCCCAGGCTATCATGTTTAAAAGAGACACAGGCACAGGGGTAATATTCAGCAATCTGATCTCCTAACCAAATACCCAAGCATTGCTCCTTGGGCAATTGCTTTCACCTCTCATCTTCAGTTTGCTTGCCTGTAAAATGGGGAGAGTGCCTCCCCCTTCACAGAGCTGCCAGGGGAACTGGTGTCAATTCCCATGTCACATGGTACATGTATGTACCATGCCTCCTGCCTAATAGTCGCTCAACAAATGGAAGCCCCTCTGGTGGCACTGCTCACACAGTGGGGTGCTTCTGTTGCACGTCACTGGTTGGGAGTTGTTTGAAGGGCCCTCAGGCACCAGAGATTTCCTAAACAGGCATGTGTCACGGGACTGCCTGACACACCCAAGACGGTCCCAGCTGATCATTCTGCTGGTCCCCCGAGTCTGCTGCAGCCTCCTTTTCCCCCCAGGAAGAAAAGGCAGGGTGACTCCACTCCCGCTAACACAGCCTACAAACCCACCAGCCTCACCCCCCGCCAAAACACAGCTGGCTGAGTCCAGCCAGGGACCCTCCTCACCGCACAGACATCCAACAGCCAAATTTCCATCAGTATTTCCTGGAAAAGTGTGGCCACCAGAGGAATTCTAAAATAGCAGTCTTTCCAGGACTTTCAAGCTAGAAACAAGGAGGCTCCAGGTCTTCATAAGAAGCCATACGCTGCTTTCTTTCACATCTGAATCTCAGAAAAGGAACTGGGAAAGCTGAGGAACACATCTGAGCCTCCCCTATGCACACAGGTTTCTCAAAATACAGAACCAAAGGCTTCCGGAACATACTCTGCTGACAGCTCCTTCCAGCCTAAACTTTGCTCAAATGCTACTAATCCATTTAGGAGGGATTTTGTGGTTCTCCTCTGGACCTGAAAGAAACATAATGTACCTCTATGAGGCCAGGCTCTATTTATGATAATATTTCCACAGGATACTGCTCAGGCAAACTCACCCATAACCATTTCACCCCTTTCTTTTTTTTTTTTTTTTTTTTTGAGTGCCCCTGAGCATTTCCAGTCAAAATTTGCTACTTTGTTCTTTGTGAAGTAGGTCGGGGGTCAAATTATAAATAAATTCAGTCTCCATGATTTGGGCAGTCTTTTACCAGAACGGTTCTGTATACTTACCCAATTGTGGGTAACCACTTATTTAGTCTTTACAACAAGCCTGGGTTGGGCAGGCTTTTACTAAAGGAGATGGCCTGTAAGGTCACTCCCCCCCAGCCTACCCCCCGCCAAAGGACTTTAGAAACTTCGGATCCCACTCAGGTTGTGACCATGAGCTCAGCGATTAGAGGACGGCGAGGCCTCCCAACTGTCACCCAGACAATAAACAGCCAGCCAACTTGGCTCAGCAGGTCCTGTGTAGCCCTGGGGCCAGGCCAGAACCCCAGGAACAAGCCACTTTCAGGTTCTGAACCTAAGACTCGGGGAGCTGGAGCAGGGGAGGGGGCGCTGCCTGGGGGCTGGGGCACCCCTGAATCAAGCCTGCTGACGAGGCTCAGGCTGGTGGCCAGGGAGCTCAGCTGACCAGCTAGTGGGCGGCCCGAGGCGGCCAGGGAGCCTGACCCGGGGCAGCACGACCGTCCACGGGTCGGCAGGCTCCGAGCTCCCGAGTTGAGACGCGGGGCTGCGGGGCCGAATGGGTGCCACTTTTCCGATCCCCAATCCTCCATACCTCCTCCCTAGAGCGCCGGTCTCGGCAGCCCTTCGCCGGCCCCTGCCACTGCGGGAAGGCGCCCGTCCGTTCCAGAACTCACACAGGCAACAAGTTCTCGCTTCCTCAGGGCGCCCACGACGTGCTCGGGAGGCCGGGCCGCGGAGCGCTCAGGGGGCGATCCCTGCGCTGCCCACGCCCCAAAGGGCGCCTGCTGCTTTCGTCGCCCCCGGGAGCGCGGAGCTACTGGTCGGGCGCGCAGCAACTGCCCCCGGCTGGCCCCGGGGCGCCCCCGGTACAGGGACGGCTCCTGCATCCTTGGTGCAGGCAACAGGTATGCGAACGCGCCGAGGACGGAGCCCCGGGTCTTCCAGCCCCCGGCCTCCGGCCCTCGCCCCTTACCTCCAGCAACTGCACGTAGCTCGCCGGGAACCAGCCGCGGAGCCCGTCCTCCTTCTCGCCTTCCCACCAGCCGCCGTCCGGGACCTGCAGCAGCGTGATCAGCTCGCCGGCGGCGAAGCGCAGCCCCTGGCCGTGCCGCTCCCCGGAGAAGGGGTACAGGGTCCGGCAGCGGGCGCCGGACATGGCCTTGGCGCCCGGGCTCACAGCCCAGCCTGCATCCCTGCCGAGCCCCGCGGGCTGGGCAGCGGCTCCGCGGGGTCCCAGGCACCCGGCGCTCCGGGCTCCCGCGCTCTGGGCGCGCGCCGTCTCCGGGTGCGCGGGGGTCCCCGTCAGGCGGGGGGACGTGCGCTCCGCGCAGGGAAGCGGAGACTCGCTGGCTTCCGAGAGCAAGCGGCGACGCCCCCGGGCCGGGCAGCTTGCAGATCCCAGCTCTGGGCAGGGGGGCGGGGCTCAGGGGGAGGAGACCGAGGCGCCGCGGGCTCCGGAGACAACTTCCCGGGGACGCGGAACGCGGGCTGCCGCCGCGAGGGCCGGCCGGAGCCGGGGCCGCCCTGGCGCGCGGAAATGCGCAGCTCCCCGGAGAGGTGGGACCCGGAGCATCACCCTCGGCCGGGCTCCGCGGCGAGGGAGTGGCCGGGCGTACGTGGAGAGGGGTCTGGCGGCCGGGTGGCCGAGCAGGAGCTCTCTCGGAGGCGAGGGGGGCGGGGCGGGGGCTGGACCAGGGCGGCCACGCCCGCTGAGGGCTGGGCGCTCCCTCTCAAAGGCGGCAGGTCACCGGGGAGGGGTCTCCCCACTCACACTCCAACCACCGAGTGCTGCTGGTATGGAAAAAACCCCTCCGCGCCTGTTTTGTAGGCCGGGTGGCGGGCGGGCGCCTCCCCCGAGGTGGCTGTGGGGGGATGTTTGTGGCCGTCACCGTAGTGGTTGAACCTGGGCTTGAACTTGACTCACCGGAAACTGAACAATGGATGAGAGACAGGTTTGAAGCCTGGCGCCTGAGTCGGGAAGCCAGGTGGCAGCGTGTGACAGCAGAGAGACGGAGCGAGGAGGCGACCGAGTCGGAGTTGGTAGAATTGGAAGCAGGTCGATGGGGATAAATGGAAAAACGAGAAAAGTGAGAGGAACAGCTCCCACTGCTTGGCATGCACAGGGGAGGCTGGCCCAGGGTACCCGCCCTCCTGAAATACAGATGGGCCAGGCTGAGGAATCTACAATCAGTCAATGAACGTTAGTGGGAGGCTGCCACATTCCACGCAAGATGGCAGGTACCTACAAAGATCTTTTGGACAAGTCCCTGCTCTCCAGGGACCCGAGGACCTGGGTGCTGAAGGAAGCTGACCTTGAATTGAGGGTATAGAAGTAAAGGAAGGCTGGGTTTCTTTGTTAGCCTACTCTGTAGGAAAACCTAAAGTCCATTTCCTAAGTGTAAATAGCTGGACCCTTTAATCTCTCTGTATTCTCCTAATTGCCTACTCATACATCCTGCTCAGTAACCGTCCATGGCTCCCTATTGCCTATTAAATTAAGTACACGTTTCTCAGTCTGTGCATTTCAGGCCCCTCACACTACCTCCCCTAGACTCGTCTCTCACTTTGCTTGCCTGGATACTCTTTACAAAACCAGTCAGGCTGGGCAACAAGAGCCTTAATATCTTGCACATTGTTCTATGCTTTGAATCAGCGGTTCTCGAGCCTGGCTGCACATTAGAATCACTTGAGTAACAACTTTAAAAAATGCCCAGGTTCACCCTAGCTTTGGGAATCACTGCTGAGCTGTAGTCTGCCTCTAAGCCATCTCACCTGAGCAGCCTCAGCTGGCCTTTGGCCTTGGGCAAGTTGACAAATGCAGATTGTTTATAATATTCCATCGACTGCAAATTCACAAACCCTTGCTTGGCTAGAAACATGGGGAAACAAACTCTTGACCACGGTGACCGCTAAGTGTCCCTTAAAGCACAGCTGCAAAATTTGATATAGAAAACAGTCACTAAAAGTAACTGACCTAATTCAGTCCTAAAAAGGACTAAAATCCCTGTATCAGGGGAATATGTGACTGTCAGCAGGCTGTCTTCAGGCTTCATATCTGATGACACGGCCCGGCTCAAGGTACCGGAGATGGTCCAGAGCCTTCCTGCAACCCAGAATCCTCCATGGTGCCTGTGAGCAGCCTGTGATCCAGTGTGGACTTGAGAAATCTGTCTACACAGCATCCCGTACACTTCAGCTCCAAATGACCCGCCCCAAACTGCTGCAGCACCAGAATTGATCCTGGCTGTCATTTCTTCAATTCTTTCATTTCATTCCTGTAATCCTGTGAGCTGGTGCGGTGATTACTGCCCCCAGTTTACAGATGGAGAAACTGGGCCCAGAGGATATGACTCGTCCACCATCAACAGCAGAGCAGAACCAGGCTTTGAACTGAGGTCTGGCGGATTGACCATCCGTCAAGTGCTGCTTCCTCGAGTCCAGCTGCCAGAGACAGGAAACTTGTGCATCCTTGTGGCTAATCTCCAAATAGCATATTAAGAAAGAGCTCACTGGTGATACCCAATGCCAGTCTTGTTAGAAATAAGACCGGACTAGCAGTCAGTGGAACTCCTGTCCCTGATCCCTTATCAATCAAGTAACCTCAGACAAGGCCCCGAACACCTTTGGGTCTATCTCCCCATCTGTGATGGGAGATTGCATCTCATAACTGGAATAAGGGTGTCAAAAGGTACAACTTCCAGTTAGAAAATAAATAAGTCACAGGGATGTAATGTACAGAATGGTGACTATAGGTAATAATACTGTATTGCATATTTGAAAGTTGATAAGAGAGTAGATCTTAAAAGCTTTCATCACAAGAAAAATTTTTTTTATAATTATGTATGGTGACAGGTGTTCACTAGATTATTGTGGTGATCATTTCACAATATATACAAATATTGAATTATGTTGTACACCTGAAACTAAGATAATATTACATGCCAGTTATGCCTCAATTAAAATAAATAAACAAACAAATAAAATAGTTGATGAAAAATATCTTAGACGTTGAGCCTTAACTCATTCTGTTAAAAAAACACAACTGGAATATGGAACTTGAGATGGTTAAATGTAGTCAGTGGTTAAATATGTAGGCTTTGGACTCCCCGTATCCAAATCTCAGTTCTGCCACTTTCCAGCTGTGTGCCCTTAGGCAATTTACTTAACCTCTCTGAGCCTCATTTTCCTCATCATTAAAAGAAGATGACAGTAGTATTTATATCATAGAGTTGTTAAGAGGATTAAATAAGTAAACATGTAAGTTGTTTAGAGCAATGCCTGGCACATTAAGTACTCAAATATTAGCCATTATTATTATCTATCTAGTCCATGGGCCTGCTTATTTATTATCTAACACTTCTTTTGGAACTAAGATTTCCAGGGCAATAATAGAAGTGGAAACTTACATCTTTTGGATGCCAAAAATTTTAAAGGAACACACACTCTGGGTTTCTGTTTTCTCACAAGATCTCAAAGGAAAGATGAGTTTCTCCCTTATCTGTCTTCCCACTTGCCTTGCTCCTCCTCTGATCTTCTAGTACCATCTTGAATTTTTATTTGAATCTTTCATTACTTAACTTTTTTGATCACTAAGTCTTATTTTACTGATTAGACTCTTAGTAACTCAGAGGAGGGATGGCATGTTTGTTTTGAATTTCCATCTATTCCTCTTAAAGTCTAACATTGAGTCTTACAAAAAGTAGGCATTCAGTCCTTCCTGAATTCATTTTGCATAGATAGTTTCGACCTCTGTTCATGTTCCGATTTTCCATATTGCCAAGTTACTCTATAAACACAGGTGTTAAAACAACTGGTTGAGACTGCATGCTCCCAAGAGCAGGCTCTCATCTCTCTTTCTTAGCTTTCTCTCAATACTGTGCATTTGATAATTATATGCTGGCAATATTTCTCTTCTACCCAAGACAGGCTTACATGCCTTTCCATCAACAGCCTAAGGATGGCAGAGAAATATAAGGGTTTCAGTTTCTTAAAAAGTTAAACATAAATTTGCCATATGACCCAGCAGTTCCCTCCTAGGTATCTACCTAAGAGAAATGAAAACAAATGGCCACACAAAAACTTGTAGTGAATGCTCATAGTAGCACTATTTATAATAGCCAAAAAGTGGAAATAATCCAAATGTCCGTCAACTGATGAGTAGATAGACGAGATGTGGTATACCCATACAATGGAATATTCACTCAGCCATGAAAAGGAATGGAGCACTGATACATGCTACAACATGGGCGAACCTCAATCACATTATGCTAAGTGAAAAAAGCCAGACACAAAAGGCCACATATCGTGTGATTCCATTTATACGAAATGTCCGGAAAAGCAAATCTATAGAGACAGTAAATAGATTAGCAGTTGCCTGGGGCTGGAAATGGGAACAGGGAGTAAGCAAAGGGGCAGGAGTTTCTTTTGGGGATGACAACAATGTTCTAAAATTGGATTGTGGTGATGGTTGCACAACTTGAGAAATCATTGAATTGTACGCTCAAAACAAGTTAATTTTTTGGTATGTAAATTATCCCTCAATAAAGCTGTTAACATAAACCAAAAAATAAACAAATATATATAAAGGCCTCATTCATTTGACAAGGGTATTTTTTCCCACCCATGCTTGCTGGTTCATTCAACAACAACATGAAGAGCTATTAAGCACATGCTATAAAATGGGCAATGTGTGGGGGCCTGGGATAGAGAGAGAAATATGGCAGCAAATACAAACAATTCCTATAGAACAATAAGAAAAAGATGGACGATACAACAGAAAAAAAAGACTTGAACAGGCATTTCACAAAAGAAGATATCCGAATGGCCAATAACACATTAAGAGGTGCTCGACCTCATTAATCATCAAGAAAAGCAAATCAAAATCATAAGGAAGGAACAATATATACTCACCAGGTGGTAAATACAAAAACAAAAGAGAAAATACCACCACGTATTGGTGAGGATGTGGTCCGCCTGGAGCTCCCATACGCTGCTGGGGGGGCCCGTTGGAAAACATGATATTTAGCAAAGCTGAATATAGCATCCTATATGACTCATCAATTCCCCTCCTAGGTATATACCCAACCGAGATGTGTTCATGTGTTCACCAAAAGACATACAATGTTCATAGCAGAACTATTCACAATAACCCAAAACTGAAAACAGCCCAATGTCCATCAACAGTAGAGTAGATAAATGATGCCCTATTTATACAGTGGAAAACTCTCTACATCGAGAATGAACAA